TATTTTTTTAAAAATATTTAAATTTCTTTCTTTTTCCTGAGGAGACTGGTGAGGCTCCGCCTCACTTGCCTCTAGTGACTGCATGTCCCTGATATATAGAAATAGTTTGCAAACTTTTGCTTCTGTACCAGAAGTTTCTATCATTAGTCAAATGACTGGTCTTCCTTTATAAGCTATATATAATACAACTGTTGACCAGCCATGCTACATAAATGGTATGGCGATTTTGTGGGCCTACATTGACTATATTCACTTCACAGTAATAGATGTAGGAAAGCTACAGTAGTTGGAGAGGCATAGATAATTATTTTTAGCATGCCATTTTTTAAAACTATCCCCTTTATATAATCTTCCTTGAAGATTGTGGGGCTCTTGGTGCTCCCAGAGCTTGGTGGTTTTCTTGCAGATGTTTCATTACCAATATAAGTGACATTATCACTTCTTGAAGACTGCATGTACTGATTTGAGACTTCCCTATGGAAAATTTCCATACCTATTCCTTTTAACTTCAGAGTTTTTCTGTATTCATGGTGAGAGTCTTCCACATAGTCGTTTTAGGCATTTCTTCTGAGATATTAATATCTGCAGGATCAGGCCTATAATAACATTTTCATTAAGATAATTTATTATTTTATAAAATTATTTTCATCATTTAGAGTTGATTCCCCTGCCTTAAATGATTTAGGACTTATTCACAGACCATTTCCAAATGCAACACATATAATTCAATCCATATCATTTCCCATGCTGATGGGACACAGCACAACTAGGCCCTGTATATGTTTACAAAGCTGGAAATTATTTAAAATGCCACTCTTTAAAAAAATGCCAGCGATGGAGACACGAGTGTCTGCATATAAGCACAGTTGCAAAAGTGGTTGATACCACTCAAATGATGTGCCAAAGGGCGTTCTGCTTTTTTCTTCCCAAAGAGGTTACTGGAAGAATTAAAATTGCAATAGCAGCGTCAACAACAGCACAAACAACAACAATGTGATCATTGCTTTTAGCGTCTTTTTTTTTTTTTACCTAATTTCAATTTTTGGTATATTTTTTGAGTGTCCTGGAGCTGCCAAATAATTTGAACTCATTGGAGACATTTCAATTACAGCCGTCGTGCCATCTTCCATCATCTTCTGAGATTCCTTTTTAACACAGAGAAATTCTGGTTTAGATTGTGATAAAAAAATAATCTGCACAGAGACCAAGCAAAGTTTTCTATGACCAAATTGATATTGGTTACCTCTGGACAACATTTTCACCATTTAGCATAATTTATCAACTTCCATGATATTTGCTGACAATAAAGAAACAAATTTCAACTAAAGTAGCCTGCTCTGCATTATGTCCTGTGAGAAGCTCCCCCTCCCAAACTCCCCAGAAGAATGAAATATTTTGGGAAATATTTAAAAAGGCAGAATATTACATTTCCCTAAAGGACAAATTTTTTGGACATGTGATGCGACACCCAGAAAAATAACAGCATACTTCAGGGAAGATTGAAGGCAAACGAGGTCCAGGCTAAAGAAGAACATCATGGCTTCAAAATCTAAGGGACTGGTTTGGACAAAACACAGCAGCACTTTTTTCTGTGGCTGTTGATAAAAATAGGATCGCTAACATGATCGCCAACATCCGATGACGGATATGACACAAGAAGAAGAAAAGGACAAATGGAGAAACATGTTTTTAGAGGCAGTAAGCAGCCCCCAGTCTTTCTTAATAGCCCACAGCAGATGCCAACACTTAAGGAGATAAAGAGCTTATTGAAAGAGGAAGCCAACTGTCTAGATGGCTCAATTCATATACAAAACAAATACTGCCAGCAGAAGCCCATTCAAGACAGGATATTTCAAAGCTCCTTGCAACAAAGTTTGCATTAGCCACAACACCCTTTCAGAACACAAGCGCCTTCATTGCACCACCCCCAGAACAAACTTCAAATAAACCTATAAAGATCCACCCATTCATTCAACCATTTGGTCAGCTGTCCCAAAATCACATCTGATTGTTGGTTCTGCTCCATCAATAAAGGGAACCTGTCTTTACAATCAGCCTCCAGCCTCCATTTTATTTCCAGTGCCTTTCTCCCAGCTTGGAAATGGACCTGGATATTTCTTCCAACAGCCCTGAACGTATTATTTTATCTGAATCCCATCATTACTGTATTAAAGTTTATTTAGCACCTATATAGTCCATGCCTGGAAGAAGTGACGTTCTATCCATGATGTCTCAAGACATGAATCTCTTTCCTGGAAATTACCACCAGAGCCAGAAAGTTATGTTCAACCTGATCTAAGGACCCACAATACCCAGAGCAGTTGCCACCCAAAGGAGGGAGGGGGAGGGGGAGGGAGGGAGAGAGATGGCAAAAGATCAGATCAGACCCAGAAAGGCTAGGAAACAAGAAACCTCAGTTTTAAAAAAAAAGTCCTGAACTTCAATACAGCAGATAAGAAAAAAGATATGGAAACGTAAGAAAAAAGGACTGAAATAACTATGTAAAAACAAACAAATTAAAAACATTAGAAAGTTAGCTGAATAACCCTTTCAGCTAAAAACTGTTTTTCCTGATGAAATTTCTGGAGAGAAAGCCAGTCTTGGTTTTTAAAGAAAGATCTAATGCTCCCCTCTAGTGGTCACTCATATAACAGATAACAGATTAACAGAGTTGGAAGGGACCTCCCCTCTTGCTCAAGCAGGAGACTCCACAGCATTTCTGACAAATGGCAGCCCAAACTTTTCTTGAAAGCCTCCAGTGATGAAGCTCCCACAACTTCCTAAGGCAACTTCTGTTTCATTGATTGATTGTTCTCGCTGTCAGAAAATCCCTCCTTGTTTCTAGGCTGAATCTCTCCTTGGTCAGTTTCCATCCGTTATTCCTTGTCTGGCCTTCAGGTGAATGGACCACATATTTATGTTGAAATATTAGAAGAACCAGTTTGGTATAGTGGTTAAAGCACCATACTACAAACTGGGACACTGGGACTTCTAATCCTATCTTAGGCCAGCTGAGTCACCTTGGGCCAATCTCTCTCTCTCTCTCATCCCAGCCCACCTCCCAGAATTATTGTTGTGGAGAAAATAGGAAAAAGGAATATTAGGTATGTTCACTGTCTTGAGTTATTTATGAAAATAATAAAGGCAGAATAAAAATAAATAGCATCTGTTTTTTCTTCTTCTTCAGAATTCCAGACTGTGTAAAGACGACAGTCTATTCAACTTTATCCCAAAGATCAGTGAGAAGAGATAGGAAAATCATTTAGCCCCTAAGCAGAAGAAAACTTTAAAAAGAGCTCACTAAAGACTCGTCCTTTCAATTCTGCTGAAGTACACTTAATTTCAAACAGACACACACAACACAGACACACAGAGACACACATCTTGGTACTAAGTATAGGTAGTCCTCAACATATGGCCACAAGGGAGCCTAAAATTTATGTTGCTAAGAGAGGCAGTTAAATGAATTTTTATCACATGATCATGGGGATGCTGCAAGGGCTGTAAAAGTGAAAAATGGTTATAAGTCATTTTTTTCAATGCTGTTGTAACTTTGAATGGCCACTAAATGAACTGTTGCAAGTCAAGGACTACCTGTATGTGTACTTAAACCTACTCACATCATTTTCTTTTGCCATTTGGATAGCATCATCTAATTTTTTTTTCTTGCTTTCTGGCATGGGATCATCAAGCCAGCTGAGTTCCCGCTTTGAAAAGCATAAATCCATAATCTTCCGAACAAAGACCAATGCTAAAACCTTTGGAAAGGAGAAAAGAGAAGTTGGGGGGGAGAGAGTAACATTCCTGAGATGACAACAGAATTCACTGGAAATGAGCAAAGTAGATAACAAGCCCTAGAGACATGATGGCGAACCTATGGCACGTGTGCCAGAAGCAGCACGCAGAGCCATTTCTCCTGGCACGCGGAGCCATCACCAGTTGCTCTTCCGGGTTCCGGTACAGCAGCCAGCTGGTCTTCATGCACATTGGCATGCCAGAAAGCAGAAGTGGAACCGGCTGGTGCATATGCGCACGCCAGGAAAATGATCTTTTTGTTTCCAGGGTGCACATGCGCATCAGCAATTTGGTGATCTGGTTCCTGGTGCGCATGTACACGCAAAAACCAGCAACCAGAAGAGCAACAGCCATGCATGCCAAAAGACGCGGAGAAGGGATCCTGGCCATTGCTTCTTAGCGGAGCAGAGCTGTGGTCGGGGCTTCCCTTCCTGCCCACCTGAGCGGGCTTCTTGCTTGGCCCCAGCCCTCCAGCCCGTGGTTAATCTGCAGTCCGAAGTGCCTGGCCAGCTCGGGCGCCCCAGAAAAGCGGCAGCGGCAGCAGCCACAAGGGAAAGGGCAGGAGCAGCTGGCCGGCCCCTGCAGCCACTCCCACACCAGCCAGAAGCAGCACTGTGACAGTTGCCAGGGGCGAGGGGGCAGCAGCGGCAAGGATGGGCAAGGGCTTCCCTCCTTCCCCACCTGAGCGGGCTACTTGCATGGCTCCTGCCCGCGGCACTGACATGGATCCACAGTCTGGAATGCCTTGCTGGTTGGCTGCCTCAGAAGAGACAGCCGGTCCCTGCGCAGCCCCAGAAGAGCATCAGCTGCAGCCACAGGAGGAAGGGCAGGAGCAACCGGGTAGCCATCGCAGCTGCTCCTATGTCAGTGAGCCAGGCCCTCGGCGGCGTCCTTATGAGGGTAGCTCGCCTTCCCACCAGCAGTTCCTCCAGCGTCCCGGCTGGAAGTAGCAACACAACAGCCGACACTACCGAGGGCGAAGTGGTGGCGATGGCGAGGATATGCGGGCCTGGGCTTCCCTCCTTCCTACCTGCCCAAGCAGGCTTCTTGCACAGCTCCAGCCCAAGGCTCTGATGAGGATGCACGGTCCAGAGCGCTGTCGTTTCCAGCTGGGATATATTCTGCCAGGCCCTCATCTGTGTCCTGGTACCAGGAGCGAAGAGGTGGCGGTGGCAAGGACAGGTGGGCCTGGGTTTCCCTCCCTCCCCCCACCCGAGCAGGCTTCTTGCCTACGGCTCTGATGAGGATCTGCGGTCCAGAGCGCTGTCGCTTCCAGCCGGGATATATTCTGCCAGGCCCTTGGCAGCGTCTTTATGCAGGTAGCTCACCTCCCTGCCAACAGCTCCTCCACCAGCATCCCGGCTGGAAGAGGAAGTGCAACAACCGCTGTTGGGGAAGGGACAAAGGAGTGGAGGTCACACATTCTCGCCACCGCCACCCCTTCGCCCCTTCGACTGTTGTGCTGCTGCTTCCAGCCAGGACGCTGGAGGAGCTGCTGGCAGGGAGGTGAGCTATCTGCATAAAGACGCCGCTGAGGGCCTGGCAGAATATATCCCGGCTGGAAGCGACAGCGTTCCAGACCATGGATCCTCATCAGAACTGTGGGCTGAAGCTGTGCAAGAAGCCTGCTTGGGTGGGTAGGAAGAAGGGAAGTACGGGCCCGCCCATCCTCGCCATCACCACCACTTAGCCCTTGGGAGCGTCAGCTGTTGTGCTGTTGCTTCCAGCCAGGACATTGGAGCAACTGCTGGCGGGGAGGCGAGCTGGAGCCATGCAAGTAGCCTGCTCGGGTGGGGAGGGAGGGAAGCTCTTGCCCATCCTTGCCACCGCTGCCCCCTCGCCCTCAGCGGCTGTCACAGTGCTGCTTCTGGCTGGGACGCTGGAGCAGCCAGAAGCCGCCGTGGGGAGGTGGGCCAGGCAGACACCGATTGCAGATGCTTCTGCTGCATCTGATGGAACAGGCAGAATGACTACTGGGACCTGAGGCGGCGGAAGCATGGATGTAGGCAACACATCTGGCAGAGGCGGCGGTGGCAACAGCATTGTAGTGGGCAGAGGATAATGCCCAGAGGTTGCCCCATAACCCAGGTCGGGAACATGGAGCCAGGAAATGAGTCTCCCAGGGCGTCGGCTGGGAAAGCGCAGGCCTTCGCAGGCCACAATAGAGACAAAGTTTGTGTGCTGGGCAGGGTGGTTGGGAGGCTTGCGGCCCGGCGTGGGCCAGCTCAGCCACCCCACCAAGAGGAGCATTTTCCTCTGTTGACTCCAAATGCGGTGGGGAGTGGCAGGTGTGGCTGCTGTGGATGTAAGTGGAAGGTGATGGGTCCATTCCCTCCAAAATGGCCGTTATATTCCTCCCTGTGCTCCGTCTCCTGGGCAGGTGGAGCAAGAGCCCAGGGGCAAGCCCATCGGCCACAGCCTCCATTTCCAAGAGCAGGCTGTTCGGTCGTTCCCAGTGCAATCCAGGAGACCGGAAAGAGCCTCGGGAGGGTGGAGGAAGCTGTTTTTGCCCTCCCCAAGCTCCTTGAAAGCCTCTGGAGCCTGGGAAGGGTGAAAAATGGGTCTATCGCAGGCCAAAAAGCAGTGTGTGTGCATGCGTATGCGCATGGGCCCCCCACACATAGCATTATGGGTATGGCATGCCCATGTAGGACCCCCTTGCGCTCCCCCCACTTTTGGCATGGGAGCTCAAAAAGGTTCGCCATCACTGCCCTAGAGAAAATAAATTGAAAGCAAGAGAATCAGAGAGTAAGTCATGCATCATCAAGGTCTCTTTTTCCAAAAGTTTTCATTATGGCAAATAAGCTTGCTTTTATGCTAATTCTGGGATTGTTGTTCTCCACCAGTTTGCTTCATGCACATTTGCATCTCAGGCGCTAAGAAGCCCTTTCTGAGTCTGCAAAGGTAAGCAGAACAGCGAGGGGTGGAACAGCTGTGCCGGGCGATTTATATTCGTTAGAAAGCAGAATTTCCTGCTTTATAGCGAATATAAATCGTGCGGCAAAGTTGGTTGTTGCACAGCTGATCATCAGAACTTTTTTTTAGCATTTTTTTTACTACCTGTTCGCCCAAACCGGTAGTAAAAAAAATGCTTTAAAAAGTTTTTTTTTAAAGGTTCCGATGATCAACTGTGACAATCAGCTGTGCCGCACAATGATCGGAACTTTTTTACTTTTTTTTTTTAGCACTTTTTTACTACCGGTTCAGATGAATAGGTAGCAAAAAAATGCTTTAAATAAGTTTTTTGAAAAGGTTCCAACCATCGCGCAGCACAGCTGATCGTCACAGCTGATCCTTGGAACCTTTTTAAAACATTTTTTTAACATTTTTTACTACCTATTCACCCGAACCGTTAGTTAAAAAATGCTTTTGAAAAGTTTTTTAAAAGGTTCCAACAATCAGCTGTGACAATCAGCTGTGCTGTGATTGGTGGAACCTTTTTTAAAAAAAATTTAAAGAATTTTTTTACTATTGGTTCAGCCCCATTGTTAAATAAACACAACCATGGTCTTTTGTGATACTGCTGAAACCAATAGGAAAAGACAAGAAACAATGTAGAATTCATTAGGGACAATGGATGTAAAGAAAAAGTGGATTTAATAATCTTGGAGCTATTTGGTAGACATTCAGGAATTATCACAGAGAGAAAATCAGATATTTTAACTTCAAGCACATGATTAAAACCACAACTCCCCTGGTAAAAAAAAGGCTCATGTCAGCAAGCACACTACGGGTAGTTCTCACTTACTGACTGCCTCGTTTAGCAACTATTCAAAGTTGCAACCGATCCTCTTCATTTGTGACCATCACAGCATCCTGTAGCCATGTGATCACCATTCATGGACTTCACTGCCAGCTTCCAACAAGCAAAATTAATTGGGAGAACACAGAAGTGAAATCACAAGTTGTGGTCATGGGATATCTCATTTAACGACCATGATACTTAGTAATTTCCAGTCCTAGTTGAGCTCAGTAAGTGAGGACTACCCGTACAGCCCACTTGAGAGAACCTCCATCATAGCCATTAAACATACAAGCAAGATTTCTGTTAATTAACACAGAAATTTAGGAAGAGTTAATAGATGGTATTGACTTATTACGTCAATTGTATATGGAATTGAGAAATGACGTTCTGTCAAATCTACAAAGGCGTTTTTTATCCTAATTTCCAGTTTTCAAATGGTTCCACTGTTAATGATTTCCTCTTAATCCAGCAGCAATAGCTAATAGTTTATAGTAGTTGGGACCAGGCTATAAAGCAAAAGGCCAGAAATGGACCTGTTTCCAGCCTCCAGAGGGCCTCCAGAGGCCGGGGAAGGCAGTTTTTGCCCTCCCAGAGGCGCGAGGAAAGCCTCCAGAGCCTGGGGAAGGTGAAAATGCCCACCACCACCACCACCACTGTGGTGCAGGAGGCTGACTAGGCCACACCCACCCAGCAACCAGGCAGAGAACCTGTTGCTGAAATTTTTGAAGCCCAACCCTGCTTACAACTCAGGATTCTGAGCAAAATCAGGTCTTCTCAAAATTGGGAAATATCTTCAAGATGCAATTCTTACTCTCCTCACCAGCCCTTATGACAGAGATGGACATTTCAGCTTAAGTGTTTTTACCATCATGGGAAAGATAATGGCTGCAGGAGACATCTTGACAACCCACAGAATGATCAGGCAGCTCAGCTGGATCATCGTGAAGAGATACACTTTCCTTAGAGGAACATGTCGCAGGTAAATGAAATCAGGCTGATGTTTGGAGGGCATTCCCATTAACTTCAGGCGATCAAAAAACTAGGAAAACAGTACAACAAAAGCAGAGCATGTGTTGGAAAAGATGCAATTGGTAGGGTAGTTGTTCTAGAAATCATATTGCTCCAACCAAGCAGCCTGGAATTGTTCCTGATGACTAGGAAGGCAAGGCAAAGAATTGTACAACTAACACTTTTATGGATGTGCTGCCATAAGGAAACCATCGCACAATCTAGTACGTGGGTTAAGAGCATTTTTCACACAAGAGCTTTTTGCAGCAATACAAAAACCATTAACCTTAATTCTTTAAATCTGCATCCTATGAACAGGAATCATATACTGTATTTTCACCCCCTCCCGTCAAAAAGCACTTTGATAAAATCGGTTTGTGTGGTTTCCCAGGGATCCTTTAACTTATATACGTATGGTAATATACTTTTAAACAGTGTATTTCTCAATCTTGCAGTGTTAAGATGTATAGACTTCAAATGGCTGGAGAATTCTGAAAATCCACACATCTTGAAGTTGTCAAGGTTAAGAAACACTGCTCTTAAACAATGACATATCCTCAAAACTTATAATTGAAAGTGGTTACTTCAAAATGTTATAAATGTTAAAAAACAGCCCAGCTCAACGTAAGGCATATGCTTTGCATTCTATTGATCGAAACTTTAGCCCCTAGTATCTTCTGTTGAAAGGTGGAATGTGGTGCTTGATAGAAAAGGTTTACAGTACAGCAAAAGAAAGTGTAAGGACTTTGGGGGCCACAACCAACCATGAAATAAATATATTGTGTCATATTCTGGTGCAGTACAAAATATACAAATTATGTTGTTGTTCAGTCACTAAATCATGTCCAACTCTTTGTGGCCCCACGGACTATAGTATGCCCACCCTCCTATCCTCCCCTGTCTCCCAGAGTTTTCCCAAATTCACATTCAGTGTGTCAATGACACTATCCAATCATCTCATCCTCTGCCCTCCCGTTCTCCTTTTGCCATCAATCTTTCCCAACATCAGGGCCTTTTCCAATTAATCCTCTTCTCAGGAGCTAGCATACAAAGCATATCTGCATCCTTTTAACATAGAGATCACCATCTTTTTTATGAGATGGCATTACACCAGCAAGGACATTGGCAATAATATGTATATCTATATGTAAATCTATATCTATCTATAACTATATGTCTCATCTATCTCTATTGATCAATGTGTGTGTGTGTGTGTGTGTGTGTGTGTGTGTGTGTGTGTGTTATAGTTATATAGTTATATATACAGTTATATATATGGTTATATACCTTAGTTATATCTATCTATCTAGGGATAGATAGATAGATAGATAGATAGATAGATAGATAGATAGATAG